GATTTTGTTTTTATAACTATAAATAAAGGGATGTACAGATACCAGTTTTGCGAGTACGAGTACTGCTACTTGCCGAGTACTTACAAGTACGAGTACTGATACATTTTTGTTTATTATCATGTGACAGTTTTTCTAAAACAATACAGACTAATGATTTCAGGACAGTGGTGGAGTGCAAGAGCCAGGTCCCAGCTGCAACCGCTACAACCCTGGCAGTTCTCATGAAAATGCCAAGTATCGGCACTGGTACTCAAAAAGTATCTGTGCATCCCTAGTGAGAGAGATAGCTGACAGGAGGGATCGCAGCTGCGGACACGGTCTACATCTCTGTCGGATGCAGACCGTGTAGCTGAATCTGCGCCGACACTCTGTTCCTTTCGGCCAGCGCTCTTTCAGTGAACGCTGGCCGAAAGGATTGTGAAGAAATTATTGGTAAGGTCTGGGTGGACACACGGACTGGGGTTGTGTGTGTGTGTGTGTGTGTATAGATAGATAGATAGATAGATAGATATGTACAGGGGTTGTACCTTTTTTTACGTGTGGGGGGTGAGTAGAAGTGTATTAGGCTACATTCTCATCTTTATTTTAGGTGCAATTAGGGATTTCTGCATCAGGAAATTGCGTTTTACAAGTGGCAGCTGTCACCTAAGTTAATGATCAGGTGATAGCAGTTGCATGTAAATGCCTGCACACCACATGTAATGATACCTGATATGTTTACATTCGGTTAGGAATCAGTCACTTTCCCTGGATGCAAAGATTGTGCATTCAGGGAGAGTGTTTTCTAACCGCATGTAATCATATCACATACCATTACATGCATGGTGCAGGCGTTTACATGGAGTTACTGTCACCTGATCATTAACTTGAATGGGTGACAGCTGTCACTTGTAAACACCAGATTAGGGATTTCTGCTGCAGTAAAACGCACGTTTCTGATACAGGAATCCCTAATCACACCTAAACCTACAGATATGAATAGGACCTTATTGTGTGTATATTGGTGTTTGTAGTACCAAACTGGATACAGTCAAATTTTATTTTAAAGTATGAAATTTGTCAAGCGGCCCCCATGGGAGAAGAAAATTTGTCAAGCGGCCCCCGAGACAGAAGAGGCGGGGGGAGAAGATGGAGGAGGCAGAGACACCGACGGAGGAGATGGGAGACATCTCCGGAGCTCCAGTCGGGCAGCGAAGATGACCAGGAGGCCGTGTCGGGCGCCGAGGATGAGGAGGCTGTCCAGTCGGTCGCCAAGGAGGCTGTGTTCCAAAGAGGTCAGGCCATGCAAGGTAAGAGGACTGTGCTGGCAGAGCCCAGCATAGATTCTGCACAGCCCACCAAAGAGTCTAAGGTGTGCGGTGCAATACCCTTTGGTTGGCTCTGCAGGATCCGTAGGGGGCTTTGCAGGATCCATAGTGTGCTCTGCAGCCTGCAAAGCCCACCACAGATCCTGCAGAGCCTTCCTGAGATCCTGCAGGATCTGTGGGGGCTTTGCAGGATCTGTGGTGGGCTTTGCAGGATCCATAGGGGGCTCTGCAGCCTGCAAAGCCCACCACAAACCCTGCA